CACACACACACACACACACACACACACACACACACACACTTAATGAGAAATAGATGCCTGAAACCTGTCATTCCTACAAGATCCAAGGCAAACAGAAAACCTTCAAAAAGCGGAGGCCATGGTGCTATCTGCAATTAGAAACAGTGTTTTAAAGTACTCCAAGCCCAACAGTTTGTTAGCTCAAGTTAAGCAAGACACAGTTCGACTATTGCTCTTGCAATTAATTGACTTGGAATTGTGGGAATTTTTTGGTTTTTCTTTTTCTTTTTCTTTCTATTTTTGAGACAGGGTTTCTCTGTGGCTTTGGAGGCTGTCCTGGAACTAGCTCTTGTAGATAGACCAGGCTGGTCTTGACTCACAGAGATCCGCCTGCCTCTGTCTCCAGATGCTGGGATTAAAGGCATGTACCACTACCGCCCAGCTCTGTGGGAGATTTTAAACCCATCTTCTGTTAAAATAGTTAACTTAAGTCTACAGAAAAGTTATGAATTGAATAGACTGAATAACATTAGGGTAGAGTACAATTTAGCATGACTTTTATGCTTGTGTAGTTGTATTTGTTTCATGGAAGGCTTTATGGCTGTGCTTTCAGTTTAGGAAATACCAAACATATACTTCGAGCGTGCGTGCGTGCGTGCGTGTTTCTTTCTAGTTATTTTTGTACTTAACTCCTATTGTTTTATAGACAGTGGCAGAATTTTTTCCTCCTAAAATACAGCAGATTATTTGGCATGTTTATAGACAATCTACTTACATTTTAGTGCCAAAATTGTTTTGGATAATGTTTTTAAGTAGCAATGCAGTCTTAAAAGTTATAAGCAAGGTGCATAAGTAAAACTCTATAGAAAACTATATAGTACTTTTGGACATGTGAGTTCTATATTTAAGCCAGTGATTTCTTTGTGTTCTATTTTCATACTGAATTGTAAAGACTGAGATGAATGATAGTTAAGATAATGTAAGTTATCTTAGGAACTCTAAGGAGTGGTGAACTGCTTTTATTTGCTAATGTTCATTTATTATCTGGTTAAAAATTAATGTTTAGGTTACTAGTTTTTAGGCTCTTTTTTTGCTGTTATAGTCCAATGAGTCACATAATGCCTTATATTTACTTTGTTTTTTTAACACATCAGCCCAAAGCAGTGACTACTCCAGTGCCAGCAACAACTCAGCAATCAAATACTCCCGCCACTACTGCAGTTAGCTCCTCCACAGCAACAGTTGTGGCTCAAGCTCCAACCCCCACGCCTGCTTCAGCTCCCACTTCCACACCTGCATCTACTACTCCAGCCTCAACTACAGTATCTTCTGAACCTGCACCTGCCAGTGCAGCTCAACCTGAGAAACCTGCAGAAAAGCCAGCACAGTCACCAGTGGTTACTAGCCCAGCACCAGCTGACAGGTAATGAAGGACTACATTTTAAGAAATTATATCACAAAGTAGTCAAAGTTTAAATTTTAAAAAAATCAAACTATGTTTCGTTTTGATTTCTAAGTGAACACTGAATCGTGTTTTTCATGTTTGTATGTGCATGTATATATGTACACACTTGTGCGTGGAGGATACAGGTTGATGTAATATATGTTCTATTGCTCTCCACCCTGCTTATTTGTGACAAGATCTTTGGCTGAATCCAGAGCTTTGCAGTTTGGCTAGGCAGTCCAGTGAACTTTTAAAATCCATCCCTTACCACGCTCCCAGTGTTGGAGTTACAGGGGCATGCCACTGCACCCTGCTTTGATACGACTTCGAAAAACACAAACAAAAAAGAAGGGATTTCCTGTGTATGAGGAAATACATCTAAAGTATGAGTTCTATTACAGCCAACCTGAAATTTGAACACCAGTAGAAGGAGTTATGTGAGCCAGTTACTGGAAAACATCAGTGATAGGAAATGCTTTGAAAGAATGGGAAACATTTATGGTGTTCATGGCAACATATACAGGTTTGCCCCTTATGCAAGGGATATGTTCCAGATGTCGACACAAAGGGAATCTTATGTGCTCTTTGTTTTTTTTTCCCTCTCTCTCCTAAACAAACATAAATTAGGTATTGTAAGAGATTAAGGACTAATGGAGCCAGCTGTTGTGGTTATGACTAACCTGAGCACTCCAGAGGCTGAAGCAGAAGAATTGCAAATTCAAAGGCAGAATGGGCCTACATACCAATTTTAAAAATTAGCATAGTTCCTTGAGCCAGGCATAGTAGTTTGCACACCTTTAATCCCAGGGCTTGGGAGGCAAAGGCAGGTGGCTCTCTGAATTTGATGACAGTCTGCTCTACATAGTGAGTTCCAGGACAGCCATGGCTACATAGAGAGACGCTGTCTCCGAAATTAAGTCTTTGAAATGTGTTCTCTTAAAATTTCTGATGATCCTGTAGATTTGCTAATCTGTGCCTCCTCCACCACCAGTTATAGTGAGAGCTTTCATTCAATCACTTTTAAAGAAAGCTTCTTCAGCATATTTCATTCCTCGGCATCACTGCTCTTGCATTTGGGGCACATTATTAAAATAAAGGTTTCATGGACACTATACTGTGACATCTTAACAGTGGCTCTGGTAATTGAGGCTGCTTAAGGGACCTGTAGGCAGGTGAATATATAGCATGGAAAATAATGGACAAAAGGTAGGTTCATGACCTGGGTAGAAGCACAGTATTTCATCATGCTGCTCAGAATGGCCCACAGCTTGAAACAGTTTATGAATTGCTTCTTCCTGGAGGCTTTTGTATTTTTATAAGATGGTTTGACATAGGTAATGGAACCCCTTTGTTTTAGCATCTTGCCCCTAAATGTGTCTTCTATGTGGTAATGAGTCTTTCTGTCCTGCCATGCAGCTCCCAAATAATGACAGAGATTTTTTAATTATGAAAGCTTGACCTATGGCTTACACTTGTTCCTAATTAGTTTTTGTTTGTTTTTGTTTTTTGTGGCTTTTGGAGGCTTTCCTGGAACTAGCTCTGGTCTGGAACTAGACCAGGCTGTTCTCGAACTCTAACTAGTTCTTATAACTTTAATTAACCCATTTTTATCAATCCATGTCCTGCCCCATAGCATTACTTCTCTTCTATCTTGCACCTCGTCCTGTTTCCTTTACATCGCTCCTGGCTCCTCTTGGTTTCTTTCCTCCTTTTTATTCTCTCCCGGAAGTTCTGTCTATATTGCCTGCCTAGCTATTGGCATTGAGCTTTCTTTTTTCTTTTTAATTATTATTATACCAGTCATAGTAACATATCTAATCAAATATGTTGCAACACCATGTCTGATCTACCATGTTTGGGAAGAATAGAATCTCTTGCCTGTTGCTGAGAAATAGCATAAAGCTTGGGGAAAATATATATGTAATATATATTATATATTTAAGATTTATTCATTATGTATAGTGTTTTTTTCCTGCATGTATGCCTGCAGGCCAGAAGAGAGCACCAGATCTCATTATAGATGGTTATGAGTCAACATGTGGGAATCAAACTCAAAACCTCTGGAAGAACAGCCAGTGCTCTTAACCATTGAGCCATCTCTCCAGCCCGGAGAATATATTTCTTGTGTTAACCTAGAACACTTTTCATTCAGTATCTGTGACACCATTGTTCAGCTTAAACCCTCTCTTCCCATATCCATCTAGAATGCATTCTGTTCTCTTGCACACTGGAAGATCACCAGAATTGAGTTAAACTGTTGCATCAAAGTCTGTATGTTGGAAGGAATTTAGTAAAAAGAATGAGATGTGAAGATGGGAGGATGACAGTTGAGGGACAGGTAATAGATTTGGGTGGATATGATCAAGAGACATTAAATACATATTATACATGTTGGAGATTGTGGGGAATAGGAGCAGATGGGTGGAAATAAATGGTCACACACACATATTAAATTGAGACAGGGTCTCTCTATGTACCTCTAGCGTCATATATAGACCAGGTTTGCCGTGAACTCAAAGATGCACCTGCCTCTGCCTCCTGAGTGCTAGGACTAAAGGTGTGCATCACTATGGCTGACTATAGACTTCTTAGTTGGACTTAGTTTAAAATATGGAACACTTCACAAATTTGCATGTTGTCATTGTGCAGGAGCCATGCTAATCTCTGTATTGCAATACAGCTAAAGTGCATGCTTAGCTAATTAGTCTTCTTTCTCCAAATAATGTAACTTCAGGGAGATTACAGAAGGTCAAGAAAATAAGATAAATATGTCCTTTTACGGCACAAAACTGAATAGCTGTCAGCAGGTATACTGGAGGCTTCTCCATCACTGCTGGCCAGACATTTTGTTTCTATGTTTTTTTTTTTTTTAATGTCAGTTTCGTTCTTTATGCAATACAAATTGTGCTGTTGATAACTGCCATAAAGAAACTGCACTTGTGGGCTGGAGAGATGTTTCAGGGGAGGACCTGGTTCTCTTCCTAATACCTACACTGTGACTCAAAACCATCTGTTAGTCCAGTCTCAGGGATATGACTCCCTCTTCTGGCCTATGCAGGCACCAGTCATATGTGTGGAACATAGACATACATGTAGACAAAATACATTAAATCTCTTAAGAAAAAATAAAAAGGAAAGAAACTAAACTTGTGCTTTGTGAGGTCAGTATTGTTGGTAAAGTACACATTCAAGTCAACTCGAATTCTGTCTTACCATGCTGTTGTTGAACTTGGAGCAGTCCCCATTGAGTGCTGATTACAGCAGTGTTTTGCCTCACCCAATCAGGACATTCCGCTGTGTGACAGGGGCTATGGAACAAAATAAGCCAGAAGCTTAAGCTAAGCACTGTAAAGCAGTATCATACATTTTTTATTAGGTTTTTATTTTGTGTGTATCTGTGTGTGTGCGTGCACATCCATGGCATGCATGTGGAGGTCAGAGATCCGCTTGTGGAAGTCTTCTGTCTTTATACCAAGTGGTACCCAGGGAGCACACTCAGGTCCTCCAACTTGGCAGGCAAGTGACTGCCCACTGAGCCATCTCCAGTATCTGGGCATGTCTTTTAATGTATAGGAAAAATGTGAGTCTGATACACTCAGTGATGAGTGATTGTCTCTGTGGTTTAGGAAGAAGTGGTGAGACTGAATCAAGATTGAGTACTGATGTTTAAAGCACATTACAGTTTTAAGTGGTTAAAGGGATTTTTAAGATAACATTCAGAGATTATGCAAATTATTAGAGGAGATCAATCCTACAAGATTCTAAACTGTATCAAACACAATGGTGACTTAAGAGTTTGAGTAGCTCCTCTTAGCTGGATTGCTTGGTAGGATAGACATCACTGTAGACATATACCTAAGTACAACTTAATGTAAAGATGCATTAATAATGCCACACTCTGTAAATGCTTCATCATCTGGAGGGAGAAAATATAGATTCTTCATTGTATGCTATCAAGAATCAATTATAATAGAAAGGACAAAGATTCCATGTAAGATGAAGTTAGAAACTAGTGAAGGATGAGGGGAAAATAACAAACGTTAGAAACCATGCTGTATAGAGCCTAATTGAGCTTGGTTTGGCCTACTAGAGGGACTATGCACTCGTAGGAAATTATTGATGTAGACATAAACTACATTTTAAGTTAAACTACAGCAACTATTGGTGGTATGTGTGGTGGTACGTGGTTATAATCCTAGCACTTGGGAGGCTGAGGCAGGAAGATCATGAGTTTAAGTCCAGCCTAGGAAATATGAAAGAAGCACAAAATTACTGGATTTTTATGTATATTCTTTTGACGTTTTACCTTCTCCACATGCATATTGTTTTAAGAAACTTTAAAAATTATATCACGGTATAGTTTTAGTTGTGCTAATGGCAATGTGTTACACCAGTGTTACTAGCAGTAACTGAACCCACAATAGAGATACTATTACTGACCTTATGGAATTGATGAAACCAAAATATAAAGTGTCTCAACTTTAGATGTGAGTCCTCCTGAGAGTTGAATTATGGTATGTGCACATTTTATCACACTATGTATCCCAGGATGGCCACTAACTTGGTGATCCATTATACCTGACTGTGTTAAGAGTACTAGTTGCTCTTGTAGAGAGCCTGGGTTCAGTTTCCAGCACCCACATGGTGGCTCACAACTGTCTGTAACTCAAGGTCCATGGATACCTTTTGTGACCTCTAAGGCACTACACATTTGCACATGTATACTTATACTCGGGAATGCACACAAACACTAAAATAAAGTAAAAATTGTAATTGCTGTTACTTAATATCCATAAATATATATATACACTGAGCACAGTCCCCATAAATCTACCCTCCCTTTTATTGTTCCTCCCACTTGCCTTTTTCATTCTTCCAGATGGCTTCACATCTACTTTTCCATATGTATATATGATTTTATATATCCACTTAATCTAGTTCCCCAAGAGAACAGAAACATAGAGGTTCACTTGTGCCTGCGCTTGTTCCTGCATGTGTTTCTCAGGATTACCCAAAGCTGCCTGCCATTAAAATTGGTTTGCTTTAGGTTAGAACAAGGTCTGCACCCCCACCTGTGATTTCCTTCTTTGTGTATGTCATATTCCTTAAATTATGTGCCTTCTCTCTTTACCACTGTTGAAAGTGTACATAGAAAACCTCACTGTGAAAGACTTGATAGCCTCATTTGGTTCTACATTTGCTACTTTTATCATATACTACATTTGATATTCTGCTGTGTCTTGATGTATGGGCTATTTTGACTGTGGTGGTGTTCTCATACTTAGCAAGTTTTTTCTAAAGGCGTTGTTTTGTGTCTTTTTTACATTGTTTAGAATGACAGATCCTCAGAAGTAATCTTAAGATTGAAAATTTTTTTGTAGCCATAAATCCTACAGGTAAAGCTTTGGGTATACTCCAAGAGGCTGACTTACCCACCACTTTAATACTTAAGGAATTCTTTAGAAATTAGTTGCTATAACAATTTGAATGAATTTTGCATACTTTTTGAAATTTAATTTTTCTAAAAACCTTTTACAGTACACCAGGAGATTCTTCCCGGTCAAATCTTTTTGAAGATGCAACAAGTGCCCTTGGTGAGTGTCTAGCTTACAAAACAAGTCGTGAGACTGCAGTTTTCACTTTCTGAATCACACTGTATGTCTGCTTCATGGTCACTTACAAATGATTTATTTAGATCATATATTAGTCATTTAGTAGTAGTACTAGAGACCTGAACGTCCTTAAAATCTCCTCTTGCAATTGAACACACTCCCTTGAAGGTAATTATTTTCCCATTCAGAAGTTTATATGTGGTCTTAACAGGTTTGGTCTGTGTATAAGCTTATTACATAAGTGCCTTTGGACGGGTTTGCTGTTTACTTTTTTTGTTTGTTTTTCGAGACAGGGTTTCTGTGTGTAGCTTTGGAGCCTATCCTGGCACTCGCTATGGAGGCCAGGCTGGCCTCGACCTCACAGAGATCGGCCTGGTTCTGCCTCCCAAGTGCTGGGATTAAAGGTGTGTGCCACCAACGCCAGCAGCTGTTTACTTTTATTTGCCTCACATTTGTTTATTCACCTCCAGCTTTCATCCAATGGACTGGATTTCTAGATTTCCAGCTGCATATTGTTGCTTAATATGGGCACATAGCAAAAAGACCTTCCTGCCCCAACCTTTGATTTGACGTGTTAATAAAGTCTTCCACTTTCTCTTCATCTCTAATCTGTCAGCTTTCTTATTATTAAACCTCTGGTATACTTCATGTTTTTATTTTTATTGCCTAGTGTTCCTGTTCTTGTATTGATATAGTAAGTAGGTAGAGGGCTGGGATAGGTGCATTCACCTATGTCATTGGCTTCTGGGTTCCCCAGCAGCAGCCACAGCATTATTCTGACAGCACTAACAATCCTTAGGATTAAAGGTTGGTCCTGAGCTAGTTGGCTTTTAACTCCTTGGTATCCTCATTATATTTAGTGACCAAAAAGTATAGTTGTTTTAAGTAGTCAACCCAAGATTTCCTGGGTGTACCACCTTCAGAATTTCATCTTCTGACAGTCCTGGGACAAGACTACCCCAAATACTATCAATATACATCCATTCATGAATCTGAAGACATTTCCTTCATACATGGAAAGTCATAAGTTGTAGAGGATTATTATAAAGGTATTGGAAGAACTAGAAAAGAGGATTACACAAAGGAAGGTGAACACTTCAGTAGCTTCAAAGCCAGAACCCAAGTTGGCACTTGTCTCTAAGGTTATTATTAGAGGTTCTGACTGTTAGCCAGCGTTGGTGGCGCACGCCTTTAATCCCAGCACCCCGGAGGCAGAGACAGGAGGATCTCTGTGAGTTCAAGACCAGCCTGGTCTACAAGAGCTAGTTCCAGGACAGTCTCCA